ACCCTGGGTAAGTCACTGATCAGACCCTGGGCAGCTCTCCACAAGTCCAGGAAAGGTGCTGACCTGCCTTGTGTGAGGAAGTCTGCTCATCCAAGAATGTCCTGTATGTCAATCAGTCACAGGTACAGTCACCATCCCATACAATCAGTGAGTCAGATCTGGAGGGGACCCAAGATAATAGCAATAATAGTTTATGTTTATATGGAGCTTTAAGATTTGCAAAAGATTTTACAGAGATTAGCTCTTGAGATAATCCTCGCAACCAAGCAAGGCAGGTATTTTCATTATTCCCATTTTACAGATGGGGAAACCAAGGCCCAGTGAGGTTCAACGATTTGCCCAAGGTCATATACCCAGCATTTGAAGCTAGTTCCTCTGACTCTACATGGAATACTTTCAACATTATTCTGTGCTTCTTCCAGGAGCTAAAACCAGCCACCAAATAAAGAATCAGTTGTTATTAGTTGCTTTTCAAAAGCCATCATGGTCTGAATTCAGGCTGCAGAGAGTCCCCAGTTCACCGTTGGTTGAGGGACTCATTGTAAGAATCCGTGAGATCAGTCCTTCAACATTTATTAAGTACTATGTGCCAGGCACTGTGCTAAGCTCTAGACAGGGAAAGTGTCAGGTTCACCGGTGGGAGCCATTTGTCTATGGTACCTGCCATAACCAAGTTGGCAAAGCTAAGCCTGGGCCAGAGGGGCTCAGTTCATCTCAGCCCAATTCCTTTGGGCCACCAGGAGGACAATTACTTAGCCATACATACATATACACACAACACACATGTATATAGTTATACACACATGCACACATATAGACATACACGCACACACATATATGTATACAAACACATGCATGTACATAGAAATATATACATATGTGCATACATATACATACACATATACACGTATGTGTGTATGTATGTATATATGTGTGTGTATATATATATATACACACACACACACATACACAGATCACTGGCAGGAGCATTTTAGTTTCCCATGGGGACTCAGAGGGATTGCCTCAGGTTCCAGGGGCACAGTGGCCCAGCAACACACCTGAGCCTCATGTAGAACTTCAGCAAAGCTCGTGGTAAAAATAACAGCAACAATCCACAAGGGTGTACAATGCTTTAAGGTTTGCAAAGTGGTTTTCCTCACAATGACCTTGGGAAGAAGTCATTGTGCAGTATTCTGAGCTTTATTTTAGAGATGAGGTAATTGAAAAGTTAAGTGACTGGCCCAAGGTCATGCATGTAATAACGAGAGAGCTGGGGGTGCAGCTAGGAGGTGCAGTGAATAGAGCGCTGGCCCTGGAGTCAGGAGGACCTGAGTTCAAATCTGGCCTCAGACACATAACACTCACTAGCTGTGTGACCTTGGGCAAGTCACTTAACCCCAATTGCCTCACCAAACAAAACAAGAGAGATGGGATGTGAACCTGGGTTCACAATTTTGCTTCAGGCTAGCCATGGCTTAGTTTATTGGGGTGACTGTAGCTCGGGGGACTGATCTAAAAACAGATATACTTTGAGGGGAGTGCAGAGGGGCCATTTTCCTTAAGGAGCTGATTAAGCGGTAGAACATAGCCAGAAGCACTGGAAGAGGGAAATATGGCAGCATGTTTCCCTCTCAGCCTCAGGTCTCCTCTCTGTAAAATGACAAAGGTTTGTATTTTGAAGGCCCCGCCCAACTTTCAAAGGCCAGGTTCCAAGGGCCCTTCTGGCTCTGACATTCACTCTGGTGTCCTATGTTCTGTCCTATGTCCTAATGTCCAGCTCTGACAGTCCATGTCCTCAATGCCATTCTGTATTCTAAAGGCCTTCCCAGCTTTAACATTCTGTGACTGGATGGTCTAGGAGAAACCAAGGAAATTCTACTCTCAGATTCTTTGTTCTAAGCCAGTAGGCAGTGCAAAATACCCTGAACTACTGAGGCATAAGCACTTTGTAAATCTTGAAAAGCCTTATATAAAACCTATGAAAATCTCACCTAGGCATATTTCACAGGGTGGAGGGTAAGGAAAACCCAGCAGGCAGTCAAGTCACTAAGCATTTAGTGAGCACCTATGGTGTGCTAGACAGCACTGAGTATTTCTGTATGGAGGCATAAAGTGCAGCCTTGGGACTGGAAAACTATTAAAAGTGAAGCTACAAGTGCCACACTCAGTCACAAAGAAAGCAATCAGTCCAGAGGGTCCTTGGCACAAAAGTCTGAGTGAACTGATTTCAGACAGGTATCCCTGGCCTTAAAAGATGTCCTGCCCTGTGTGAGGGAGGACTTCAATGGGAGTCGGAGCCCTCCACCATATGGCAGAGAGAAGAGTTCTGGGTCAGGCAGCAGAGCTGGTACCAGCCTGGAGAGAGCGACATTTCCAAAGGCTTCAACCAGGTGGGATGGAGAGGGGCTGGCATTTCAGATCTCTGCTCCAGAATCAAAAATATCAGTCTGGAAAATCTAGGAAGAATTATATGAACGGATGCAAAGTGAAGTGAGCAGAACCAGAACAATGTACACAGAAACAGCAATATTGTAACAATGATTAACTGTGAATAACTTAGCTCTTCTCAGCAATACAATGATCCGAGATAATTCTAAAGGATTTATGATGAAAAAATGCTATCCACTTCCAAAGAAAGAAGTGATGGAGATTCAGGTCAAAGCATACTTTTAAACTTTCTTTAATATTCTTGTTTTTTTTGATCTGTGTTTTCTTTTGCAACATGGCTAATATGACAATGTTTTGCATGATTGCACATGTATAATCTTTATCAAATTGCTTGTCTTCTCAAGAAGGTGGGAGAGGATGGAGGGAGAGAATTTGGAACTCAAAATTTTAAGAAGTAAATGTTAAAAATTTTTGTTTACCTGTAATTGAGAAAAAATAAAATAAAAATTAAATGTAAAAAATGGTCTGACAATAAGCTCTTCAGAACTTGGCACCTTCCTACCTTTCTAGTCATTTTTATATTTTACAACCCTCCATCAAACCTATGATCCACCTATGCCTGCCTCCTTGCTGTAAATGTCCCATGTGAACACTTCAGACTCCATACCTTTGTCCTGGCTGTCTCCCATGCTTGGAATACTCTCTCTTCCTCCCTTCTCTCTCTCTCCCCCCTCCCCCACCTCCTAGCTCTCTTGGCTGCCTTCATATTTCAGCAAAGGCCCACGTTTTACAGTGGCCCTTTCCCAATCCCTTCACACCCTGCCCGATTGCCTTCCCCTCTGGTCATCTACACTGTATAAATCTTGTATGTATAATTATTTGCACGTGGTCATGGATTTAGAATGCAACACAGAGATGTAAGTATCTGAGGCAGAATTCTTACCCAGGATTTCCTGGCTACAGGCCCAGTGACTTGGCCACTCAAATGGGTGTTGCCCTTTCCCTATTTCATGAGTTGTGAGTGAAGAGCTTTGTAAACCTTAAAGCACCATAAGAAATGTTTTTGTTATTATGAACTAATCTGCTAATTGATGGTTATTGACATTTTCATGGTCTGCAAAACAAAGTCATGTGAGGGAAGGACTCTACATTTTCCCCCTTCCTAGAACATGTTTGATCTGCAGTAGCAGCAACTTTCACGCTGAACACAACACTAATTCCATAGAATATTCCGTGAGGAGTCATTTGATCTCAGAGATCTCTGGGGAGAATGTTTGGGATGGGAAGGGAGGGAGAACAGGAAGTAATATTAATAGCTAGTATTTGCAAAGCACTTTAAGGTTTGCAAATGCATTATCTCATTAAATCTCATAATCATCTTGGGAAGTGGGTGCTGCTGTCATTTCCATTTTACAGATGAGGAAAGTGAGGTGCAGAGAGAGGTTCATTGAATTCCCCAAGGTCACACAGCCACTGAACGCCAATTTCTAGCAACGGATTTGGGGAAGGGGGAGTGGTAGAAGACTTCCAAGTGGCCTTTAATTTGTGAGGACCATAAAGGAGGCCAAAAAACATAAAGACATTCAGATGCCCAATCAGGCACCTTAAAGTTCATGCACTAAAGTCCCACGATCAGCTGGTCTGTACTCTTTCTCTCCATTTCGACTCAATTCTAACCAGATTCAGCTTCTAAGCCAAGAGAACGTAATCCCGGACAGGCCAGATACAGCGGGTGTCACACACACACACCGGGGGTTGTACTTAGCCAGCAGCACTCCAGAGCGAGGCCAAGACCAGACTAAAATGTAGTTGGGAAATTTAACAAAATCAGTAAAGATACAATAAAACACAGGTAACATTGCATTTCAAAGCCAAATCACTATGTGCCTACAGGGATCCTTGTGCAAGATCAGTCACCCCCATTTCTGTTTGTCTGGGATACATTATTGTCCACAAAAGGTATGTAGAGAGTCACTTTCTACAGGAAGCCCTCCCTGATTCCTCTAGCTGCTAATGCCCCATTCTACTTACCTTGAACTTATAGATCCAGAGCTGGAAGGGGCTCCAGAAACCATTAAATTCACTTCCCCTCCCCATTTTACAGATGAAGAAACTGAGGCCCAGAGAGATTAAGTGAGTTCTCTCTCCTCTCCACCTTTCCAAGACATTTACCCTATTTATATGTATCTTGTGTTCACGTAACTATCCGCATGTTGTCTCTGTTAGAACATGAGCTCCTTGAGGGCAGGGACCACTTTTTTGCCTTAGTACCCTTAGCACGTTTCCTGGTACACAGTAAGTACTTAATAAATGCCTGTTCACTGACCACCTTACCTCTCCTAGAATGTAAACCTGTTCTGAGCAAGAATGATTTTCCTTTTTGTATACTCAGCACTTACCATATAGTAGGTGCTTAATAAATGCTGGCTGGTTGATTTAGGGTCATCCCTGAGGTATGAGCAGCTCCCTTTGGGGCAGCGAGTGTTTTGTGTTTATCTCTGTACCCCCAGCCCCTCCTTGCCCATGTTTGTGGAACAAAACTGGTAAACAAATGAAGAGTAAACAATCAGTGAATGAAAGGAAAAAAGAAAGGGACCTTGAAATGTGCCCAACAAATTTAATGAGTAATCAAACCACTCCAATTCCAAGATACAAAGTGGTGAATGAATACACGAGAAGAGTGACATCTTAGAAGAGAACACGACTGTTTTGGGTACGGGAAAGAAAACCAAGGAATACACCTAATGTCAGCTGGTAGGGCTTCTCTTCTGAAGTCGGATTCACATTCATGGCTGCTTCAGGAACGGGTGGTCCCAGGTCCCCTAAGGAGTTAGCCCCTCACAAAGTATGGGTTCACATGCCTTCATTCTACTCCCCCCTCCCCAACCCCAGGACCAGACCAGACCATCTTCTTTTTACTCCCTGACATAAATTCTTGTGCACACGACGTCATCGGCACCGAAAGTCTGCAGCAGAAAGGATCAAGAAGCATGAATTAGTGCAGAAATTAGATTTTTTTTTTTGTAAATGATACTGCTCATTTCACCGTTTGAAAGCCTGTCTGCCCGACATCCTATTTCTTGGGTTCTCATGCAAAGGGCAAAGAGGAGAGACAGAGGCCTCGGTAATGGGGGTGAGGGTGAGGGCAGAGAACAAGACAGAGCTCTTCTGTTCAAGTTTCCATCCCGGGTGGCATGAATTCTAGCAGGAGTTCCCTGGCCAGAGCTTCAAGAGGGAGGCTCTGGCCCCTGGCACTTGTGAAAGGATCCCTACTCTGTTCCCTGTTATAGTGGAGAGAACTGAGGGGAGCCTCACCAGAGTGTGGAGACGTCTCCCAACCCCTCTCTGCTCTCCAGCCTTGCTCATTCATCCCCCAAGATCTCATGGCCTCAAAATCAGAGCTGGGGGAAAACTGAGTGGGATGAAAGAAGGTGCCTCCCAGGGTCCGGCTAAGCCTGGACATGCTCCTAAGGGGGTACAGTGCAGATCAAGTAATCCCACCTCTCCCCTTCCATCAGAAACAATTTGGAATAACACAGTAATTCTATTTCCATTTTTGAAAACTCTAATTATATGTACAAACTTAACCATATCTTTGCATTCAGGGCATAGCAACAGTTGGGGTAGGGGGGGTCACAAGTCCCAAGTCCTTCGCTTACTACCTGTATGACCTTGGGACAGTCATTCAGCCCATCTTGGCCTCAGTTTCCTCATCTATAAAATGAGATTTGATGACCACATCTAGCTCTCTGGTCCTATGACCCCACCTTATACTGTTGTCCTGAGGCCCAAATATAGAAGGCAGCATGATGTGATGTAAAGAACATTAGACTAGAGTCAGGAACGGCTTGTGTGGGCCAGATCACCATGTCTGAGCCCCAGCTTGGCCATTAATTAGCAGTGTGATCCTGGACCAGTCACTTAGCCTCTCACTCTGGGTCTAAGTGTCCCTGCTCCCTACAAAGGATGGTAAGGCACTAGGGCTGCCTCCTAACGTCCCTTCCATTTCTAACAATCTGTAAGCCGTGTCAAAGTCCTTTGAAAATTGTAGAGCCTGGTACAACCTAAGGGATTATAATTACAAGTCACTATTTGTGATCATCGCAAAATGCTTTTAAAAGAGCACTGCAAGATGTAAATGGGTCCCCCGAACATAAATTTGACTGAAGGTGGGCTAAGCAGGGGAACCTGGAAAATATGCCTCGGTCCAAGAAGACTTACTCTGTAGACACCTCCTCCATTACTTCAAGTAATCCCCCCCCAAAATCTTATATTCACCCATTAGGAGGTAAACTCCTTGAGGAAGGGTCTGCTGTATTTGCGTGTATAACTAGGTCCCAATTAGTGCAAATATGAATTCTGTTGATGTAATGCATACTTCCATTGGGCTGAAACCAATTACCATATTTTAAATAATCATAACTCTAAATAGTATTAATTTGAATACACATGGGATTCATTATTCGCATTCATTAGGACCTAGTATTTATTTCCCCAACACATAGCACTGAGCCTGGCACATAGCAAACACTCAATAAATGCTCTGTCTATTTGTATCTATCTACCAATTTATCCATCTACTACCTACCTACCTACCTACCTACCCACCACACTGGCCTTGAGCTCCAAGAGGAGAATTTCGGGCCCCTGAAATCCTTCTGGACAGGCACTACTTAAGAATCTGTCATTCACAACTTGACTACTTGACTTCTAAGGTCCCTTCCCAATTCAAATCTATAATCCTGTGATCCCAAGATGTCTTAATCTATTTCCAAAGACTTCTCCTAAGCCCTATAAGGTCCCATGTATCCTGCAGCTGATACATGGGAAAGAGCACACACACAGGAAGGAAAAAATGTCCTTGTAGTCCTCAGTCAATTTTTAAAACTATAGTTCCAATCCACAAATTAATAACTACACTCCCCTAACGTCATTATCTGCTAGCCATGGTTTAATGGTCCAGGCTACCACACTCCTCTGTCCTTACTCTAATGAAAAATGCTTGTTCAAAATGGCGACTACATTTTGTGAGAATAAGGGAAGAGACGGGAAGTGGATTCTAAGTCCAGCGTGCCATCCCAACAAGGTCACATTACGGTCTATCTAAGCCCCAAGGCTTAGATAGTTAGCGTGTCAAGGCACTGCACATATGTCATCTCATATTAGGATCATGGCAACCCTACAACGTAGGGGGTATTATCAGTCCCATTTTACAAGAAGCTCAAACCCAGAAAGGTAAAGTGAGTGACTTGTTCAGAATCACGCAGCTCTAGCACTTTGCTGCATCTGTAGTCCAACCTTTACTCTAACATCCTGGACAAGTGACCGAGCATCGAGCCTCCAGAAACAGGGAGCTTATTAACTCCCACTAGTGAGCAGCTATGTAACAGGAAAGCAGCTCTTATCCGTAATCAGGCCAAAACTTGACTGCTTGTCACTTCTACCTAATGGTCCTAATTTTACCCTTTGGGTCAAGAACATGTTCCAGTCTCTCCTTCCCTGTACACTGAATATCTCCAGTTCCTTGATAAGGTTCCCAGTGTGACCCTTAGGACCCCCTGCCTGGGTCAGTCTCTGCAAGTAAACCTGCACTGACATATAGACAAAGTAATGAATCACGAATGGTCTAATTCCAGGCACCACTATACCGAAGGTCACATAGCTTTTAAAATACCAGGAGTCATATTCAAGCTTCCTGACTCTAAGGCCACTACAAGGCAGATTATTTCTGCATTCGCTTTCTCCATCGAGAACGAGCTGTTCTGTAGAATCATTCAATGAACCAACATTTCATTCAGTGCCTACTATATGCCAGGCTAACCGCTGGAATGTAAGCCTCAGGCAGGGACTGTTTCTTTTTTATCTCTGTATCCCTGGAAGATAGCAGAGTGTGTGGTAAACAGAAGGCACTTAATAAATGCATGTCAAGAGCTCGGGGCTTGAAATTATGAGCACTGCATACAAATCCTTGTTCCTTTATTAACAGTGGGGCCATGAGCAAGTCATTTTCTCTCCCTCTGCCTCTGCAAAATGGAAAAAGACTTCTGGAGCCCTCATTGGCAAGATGAAATGAGAAGGATGTGTAATTGGTATTCATCTTGCACAACAAAAATGAAAAAAAAAAGCCAGAAGCTGCCTGCCTGGGAGCATCATTTACCCTCCTGCAAACAAGGTCGCCTCTAGCTGCTCCTGCTAAGAAACAGTTTGCAAAGTGTGACGACACTCACTGGTTAAAGGAAGGACAGAGATGATTCCCTCTAGATGGAAGGCCAGTCCAAACAGACACAAAGTCGAGAGCTGTCAGGGTCCTTAATGTCAGCTCAGTTGAATAGACTGAGTGCAGACGGGTCAGTTTGACCACTTGAACTCAGTTACCCTGAAGGTACTGGTAGAGCCATGGAATGAATGCTAGCCTTGGGGTTCAGAGACCTGGGTTCTCTAGAGCTGGGGGACCCTGGGCAGATTACATCCCCTGAGCCTCAGTTCCCTCTTCTGTTAAATGGAGAGAGCACTGGCATTGTCCCCCTCTGAGGATGGTGTGAGCAAATAACTTTCTATAATCTTAATGAACTATAGAATTAAAGGTTGTTATTATTATTATGATCTGCAGAATGACCTCCTGGACCACAATTCTCTCCCCATTCTCCATCCGCCGAAGGTCCACTGGATCCTCTAAGCAAATGATGAGGTTTATTATACAGGATCCAGGGGGGCCACTTCTGACACCCCTATCTTATCCTACTTGGGAGGTGGGGGAGATGTGTAGAAGCAGGGAAGGAGAGAGAAAGGAGAAGGGGTGAGATGAAGAAAATGACAAAGAAAGGAGGAAGAGAGAGACGGAGAAAGAGGGGAGGAGAGGGAAAGCAGAAGGGGTGAGATGAAGAAAATAACAAAGAAAGGAGGAAGAGAGAGACAGAGAAAGAGGGGAGAGGGAAAGAGGAAGAGGGAAGGAGAGAGAAAGAGGAAGAGAGGAAAGGATGGAGACACAGAGAAAGAGGGGAGGAGAGGGAGGGAGAAAGCGGGAGGGAATGAGAGAAACAGAAGGGGGTGAAAGACAGGGAGAATAAGATAAAGGGGGAGACAAATGGGGGAGACAGCAAGAGAGACGAGTCAGCCAGAGACAAAAAAGGCAAAGGAAAGAGAAAGGGGCAAGTCGAGTGGGGAAGACAGAGGCAGACAGAGAGAAGAGGAATGTACAAGCCATAAAGTGAGAAGATGCCAGTGAGCATGGAAAGCGGTAGGGGGAAGGTCCGCTTAGCAGAGTAAGAAGGGCCTCACCAAAATCAGCTCGTCATTGGCCAGCTCCCGGGTCCAGTATGTCTTCGGGCCATTGCCCTCCACCAGAGTTTGTGTGCAGTAGATTTTATTTTCATTCTCCCAAGTGGGCAAACTCTGTAGACCAGAAAACATTAGCTCCATGAATTCTACTTGGCGGCGCAGACCAGACCCAGGCAGGGCCAACAATGAGGAGAGTAATGGCTGCTGGGGAGCAACAGTGCACGATCAATAATAACGGGGCCAAAAAGGCATACTGACAGAACAGTACAGAACCAAAATTAAAGGCACTTCCTGCGGCTGGTTAAGTGGCTTCCTGGAGTACAGACCCACTTAGAGCAGAGGGAGGTGCATGGGTCGAGAGTCCTCAGGCACAATTTATGTTCTGAAATCCAAATTAGAGAATGCAGTTTTTGTTTTTTAAATACATTAAGTCACTGCCCTCCTTTAAGGCATCTAGAGGCTTAATTAATATCATTGCATACGAGAATCAAAGACTGCCCAAGCTGGAAGAAACTTAAGATTGTTTTATGCGCTAATAACCCAAGAGCCGACACTCCAGGCCTTACCCCGTCGGCACCATCAGTTAACTGTATGAAGGCTCCCTTTTGTGACACCTAAAATACTTTACTTTGCTGGAACTCGTTTTTAGTATTTCTGCTGCTCTGCACTCATTCTGGGCTTTCTGGTAAACCTGGGCATCGGAGAGCCCTGGAAAAGCCTAGGGATTGCTTCTGGGTACCAGAGATGCCCTGAGGAGAAAGAGATCGCTTCTTGCTGGGAGAATGGGATGAAACCAATTTAAAGGGAGAATGGTGCTGGCAGGGACGGATGGGGGAGATGATTTCTCTTGTGCTGCAGGAGGACAAACGAGGTGCAAAGGACGACCCCCTCTGTTTCACTTCCCCAGCGTGGTATTATTATTCTACAAAGCCGGGAACAGCTGGCCTTTGGGGATGGAGTGGGGGGTGGTGGATATGGGAGAGCAGTAATGAATGTACACATAATCTCTTTATAACTAACACATGGGAAACATTCATTAGGCAGCATCAGGGGTTGGGGGGGGTGGAATAAATAAAGGCCCGTTCTCCAGACTGTGTGCCCTGGGAAACTTTTATATCAAAACTGGCCTCCCCACCTAAAGACGCCCCATCGATGTGTCCGAATGAAGTCTTTTTACTCTTATTAGGCAGATTCTCCACCCAGTTTTATGGCTTTTGTTCCAACTTGACTGGACTGCTCTCCGTGTGAACAGTAATTTAACAAGGACCTCAGACTCATAACCGATGTCACTTACAGCCTGTAACACGATTTGGGGGTGGGATGCAAATACTTAAAACTGAGTAAGGCTGTTTAGCTACCTCCTGTGGCTTTTGACGCCAAGGAACATAACTTGGTTGAAGGAAAAACAAATAATTTCACACTCTTTGAAAGTTTATTTCTATTATCTTTTAAAACTGCAGTATAAAATACTTTCCAAAAAAAAAAAAAAAAAGGAGAGGGGGCCTGTTCTGTCAACCTTCAAATAATGGGTAGTTGGCCCAATTGCTTTTCCATCTGCCCTAGAAGGCTTTCATTATTAAGCCAGAGCAGAGCTCCCTTCCCCATACAGAGGGAGGCAGGGCCAAATTCAATTTCGCCTTCACAAAGACAGAAATGAAGGTGGCCGAGGATTTTTTATTTCCTCTATTTGTGGTTTAAAGCTAAAGCTGGGTTACATGCTTTAGAACCAGTGGGGAGGAAAGAAGAAAAACTGACACAGGTTCCCCTCTTTCATTCTTTCTTTTTCAAGGATAAGCAGCCAGGCTCTCTCACCAGATTCCTAGTTTACGCATTTGGAATGCATAATATAAAGCACTTTTTTTTTTTTTTTTTTTGCATGGGGGAAATTTACTCAGTGGTCCACCCCTAGCTGACTGTAACTAGATCCAAAAGCATTCCTCCAACACATTCCTAGCCAAACAAGGGGGATGGGAAGGGAAAGGGTGATAGGCAGAGCCATCATTTACACCTGTGAGTAGAAACAGCCTAATAGAGCTGTGTAAGCTTAATCACCTGGGAGTCTGCTGGAGAAAGACGTTGAAAAGTTGAACTTCGGTGGGGAAAAAAAAATTATACCTCCCCAAGAACCCATATTTCAAGGAAGAAGTTCGTTAGAGGTAAAAGAGGCAGCCCTCCCACTGGCTTTAGGGATATTTCCCCTGGTCTGGGCTTTGGGCTAAAAAAACTAAGGACTTGGGCAGTCTGTCCCTCTTACACGGTGATTGGACAAAAAAAGGTTGGCATACACAAACCCTTTAAAAACCTCAGACAGCAGCTTCAGTTTGGACCAAGGTCGGGTCCAAAAGGTTGGCTTTTTTCCCCATCCTTTCCTAGACTGTGAGGATTACCGAGAAGGGAGTGAAGGGCAAGGTGGGCTGAGTCAAGAAGCTAGAGGCAATGTGTCTTGGCTCGGGACTGCCATGGTTGGCTAAAGAGGAAGGAGGGGTGTGACTCGAAGCTCCAGCCACCCGGTACTGAAGTCAGAGACTAGGCGGCAGAGGGACTTTAGGGTTCGGACACTGGCTGTGCCACTAACGCTGTGTGTCTTGGACGAATGAATCCTTTCCCCTTTCTCAGTCTCAGTATTCTACTTTGTAAAATGAAAGAGAGAGTGCGCTGGACGATTCCCAAAAGCGCCTTTCCGATAGTGGATGGCTCTGGGGTCCGGGGGCCCTTCGCCCACACCCACTAGGGTCTCCTTACCCGGCACTTGCGTCCATCCACCGTCTCCTCATCGAAGCCCTCGCCAACCTTGAAGTTGATCTCGGTGGTGCGCACGGTGGTGGCGGTCTTGATGTAGAACTGGTCCCCGTCCTGGCGGATCTCCACGTGCGGCTTGGAGGCTGCGGCCACGGCCACCTTCCTCAGCATGGCATTCACGCCTGGCCCCGGGGAGGGAAAGGAGGGCAGAGCTCGTGTCAGTACAGCCGGAGAAAAGAGGTGGTCTAGGGAGAATGGGGGCGGGGGCGGGCAGGAGGGGTCTCCGGGTAGAAGATAGCCCCGTTATCGTTGACAGGGAGGTACCCCGGTCTGTCTCCCTATAGCGCCCAGCCCTAGAGGGAAGGGGCCGTCCAGGCTACGGAGGGTGGCCACTTAGCCGGGCGTTGCAGACTCGCCTCTCCCCGATCCCCTATCCGGTCGGAAGCGAAGGGGATGCCACCCTCCAGCCCGGTCGGGTCCCTCTTACCCAGCGCTTTGAGAAGCTCGTCGAAATTCTCACTGCTCCGCATCTTCCAGGTGCCAGCGAAGTTGGGCATGGCGTCGGGCTGGGAGAGAGGCTGGTGCACGGGCGGAGCGGGCTGCGCGATCAGAACGAAGCGCTCGCTGCGAGCTGACTGCGGGACTGCGCCCGGCCCTGCCCAGCGCGTGAGTCACTAGCCCCGAGCCCCCACCCCTGCCCCCGCCCCCCTGCTCCCCCCGGACCAGGCTGCAGGCAGCCGTCCCGCCCCCCACTCTCCTTCGGCCGCGCCCTCCACGCCGGGCGTGTAGCAAGTCCTAGTGCAGATGGCCCTGGGACATTCGCTAGCCGCGGAACCCTGGGCAAGTCCCTTAATCAATCCCTCGGTGTCTCAGTTTCCTAATCTGCAAAGATGAGGGACTTCCAGCTCTAAATCCAGGATGCTCCGATGCTTCCCGCCTCTCCCCGCTTTGCTTACAAACAAGAGGAGGGGGCGCTTTAGTACCCTGAAGCTCTGCGGGCCCCTCCTCTCCCGAGCTCTAACTGGGCGTGGGGTGGGGGGCAGAAGGGGCCAGAGCACCCCTTCCCCCACCACACAAGAGCATTCCCCGCCATAAAAAGCTGCACAGACCACTTCAATCATCCCTGATGCAAGTAATTGCCCTCCAAGAAGCACCCCCTACCGGGGGGAAAGAGCCCCGCGTGTACGTGACCTCTCCTTTCCCACTCGGATCCCGGGAGTCCGTGGCAGGGGTAGGGGTTCGGAAATAATTGACCAGTTCTCGAAATACTGCAGGGCCCCTAGTCCCCGAGTAACCAGAGCCCCAGTGATCCAAGGATCGCCCTCCTAGTGCAAGACAGCAAAAAGAGGAGCAGGAAAGGGGTCCCCCAAAAGAGGAGCGGGTCTTACAGATAATGAAGGGCCCTTTGGAAGAATGCACTAACTACCTCCACAAAACCGCCCCACCCACCCACCGAGAAATAACCAAAGCATTATGGAGTCCTTGCAAAGGAGGGGACCTTGGGGCACCCCCAGCAGCCCGGAGCCCGGTCCCATGGGTGGGAGCTGCCAGCGGGCCTTGGCGTCCAGCCCATTGGGTACCCAAGCATGGCCTTAACCCTCCTGGGGCAAAGGGCTCTTGGCTCGAAGAATTCTGAGCGGGTTCTCACCGAGGTGTCTCTGGTGAAACCGGGAAGATTGCGCCCTGCGACGGTCTGCGTTGCGCTCCTGCTGCTGCAGCTGCTGCTACCGTCCAGGGAGGGAGAGACGCGCCCTAGATGGCGCGCAGGCACTTCCGCAGCCCCAGATTCGCCCCCCTGGGATTCCCCCTCCCCTAAGGGCGGGCTCACAGGGGCTGCCGCTCTCTCCTACACCCGGGCCTTGCGTGGTGGCGCCAGCACCCACCCATAGCCCAGCAGAGCCCGCCCTGTGTGGTTCGTTCTGTTCCCGGAGCGCTGGCCAGGGATGCCCGCGAAACCTGGGTAGAGCACACGGAGGCAATGTCTCCTGCTATTCTGTTTGCCCCAAGAGCTGCCGGGGGGGGGGGGTTAGGATCGCACCCATTGCTTCTCCCCTGGCTCTGTTGCACCGTATTTCACCCAGGGGCCCGACAATCTCCCTGGCCACAATTTTCTCCTGAAATTGCCACGCAGCAGCAAAGACTCACCCTTGCAAAGTTATACCATTGCAACTGCTTGGGCGAGAACCATTGGCAGGAGGGGGCATTACTAGATCAGAATGCATAAATGTTTACATTTTTCCTTTTTGCATGTCATTGCAAAAAGTGTTAGTCTTTCGAGTGAGCGACACAACCTCTTATTGCATTTGGAACGTGGGCAAATATTTTCCCTCCATGCGGGCCTGCTCCAACCTTACTCCCCAACTCCCTCTTTGGGGAAAGAGTCTTCTCTCATTCACTTACACTTTAGTGGGAATGCAAATCATTCCTTCCTTCCTCCAAGGGCGTTTGCATTAATTTTTTTTTTAAATCGTGAAATAATGACTCGATGTTAGCATTTAAGGTTTAGAATTAGTTTCGGCAAACATTTAGCAAGCAGGTGCAAGCTTCAGTTCTAGGAGCTAGAGATACAAAGAAGAAGAAAAAAGAAATAGATCCCGCCCTCATGGGTTTAACAGTTCACGGAGGTGGGGGAGGGGAGGGAATGAGCATTAATATAAGGCCTCCTAAGTGCTAAACTCAATCTCATTTGATGCTCACGACCACCCGGAGAGGTGGGTGCTGTTATTATGCCCCATTTTAGGAAACTGAAGTTAAGTGACTTGCCCAGGTCACACAACAAGTAAATGTCTGCGGTCGCATTTGAACTCAGTTCTTGCTGACTCCAGACCCAGTGCTCCATCCATCTAGCTGCCTCTACACTGCTGGGGGCGGGGGAGGGGGGATGCACAACACGTGACACATAAGTAGGATACAAGGTTGATAATGAAGAGGGGAAAGGAGAGATCCAGATGAAGTGTTGTAGGAAAATTTTTGGAGGAAAATAAAGAGTTCTAACAAGCCAGGGCCATGTCGCTTCCAGAAGATGAAGATTCTGACACATAAGGAGGGAGAGCATTCCAGATGTTGTGGGGAGGAGGGTGCTCAGGGCCACACTCTGCTCGGTGAAGGCAGGGAGAACAGTGGGAAGTGGAGACGCAGGTTCTGAAGGGGTCCAGGCTGCTTGGCTGAAACATTCGGTTCTTGATGGAGAGAGGCCATGAAAGAAGGCAGGAAACTGATGCTGGAGTCAGTTTGTTGGGAGCTCTAAATGCCAGACTAAGGAATTTTTTTTCTATCCTAAAAGCAATACGGAACCCCCATTTTTGAGGGAAAGAGCATACTTTTCAGACCAGTGTGCCCTGCCACACAGAAGAAGGATTGGCTCTCTGTACTTTGTCCCAGAGGCCAGAACGAGGAACAATGAGTGATAATAGCAGAGAAGCCAGTTTGAGTTCAGTGTTAGGTAAGACTTCCTAAGCATCAATTATCCATAAGTGGAATAGAAAGGTTTGCCTCTAATAGTAGTCTTCATACGAAAGCTGGATGAACAGCGGTTTGAATATTGGTCCTCTGAGTAGGGGCGTTATGAGTATGAAGGATGAATTAGCAGAGGGAGGGACTGAAAGTAAGAAGACTAAGGAAGATAGTGTAAGAAAAGTGTGGAGACTCCCTCCAGTGATGAATTTTGCCTGAATTTTTAAGGGGGAGGCAGAAACTGTGAACTTGGATTTTTAAAAATTGAAATATTTTAGTAATTGTTTTTCAGTATGTAAGGGGGCTTGCCTGATTGGCTTTCTTTGTTCATCTTGTGCTTTTCATTTTATGCACTTAAAAGCATTATTCTAAGAATGGCTGGCCCAGGCTGCTAGAGAGATTCACGACACAAAGAGTTTAAGAACCCCGGAGCTAGGCAAGCTGCCCCGATGAAACGAGGTCACCCAATAAGGTCACCTAGCAGCAGGATGTGGACCCAGGTCTTCCTGACTCCCAGACTGGCCTGCTGTCCTCTGTACCTTGCTGCCTCCCACCTGTTTTCATTGCATTATGTTAAGGCTTTGTCCTAAGTCGAAAGAATTTCAATCCTAAGTGTGACTAGGGCTGTCTCTCATACCAGTGGGCTTCTTAAATAATGAGTGGATGACATCTTTATTTTTATTGTTAGGAGAGACTAGAGGGCCTTGAGGCCCTCTAGGTCCTCAAATGTGCCTCTTTGACTGAATCCAAACTTCACAGAAAAAGTCCCTTTAATAAAAGGATTCTGCAAAACTTGGACTCCATCAAAAGGCCGCACCTAAGGACCTAGAAGGCCACATGTGACCTAGAGGCCACAGGTTCCCCACCCCTTGACTGGAAGATAGTTTGGCTAACTACTCAAGCTTGCCTTGGCAAGCCTTCTTAAAGTGAAAATCTACAAATTGTTGACATTTTTTTTAAGTCAAAAAACACTGAAGTGTCTTCCTTGGCATCTGTAGGTGGCATGATCTTTTAAAGTGAAACCGCCTTATAAAAAAAGACCTTTGGCTGGTCCTCTCACTGATGACTCCTTATAGCCTGGTGATGACCCTGGGGTCTTAAAATTTGTACCAGCCCAGTACCAGCATTACCAAGCAGGAAAAGCCCAGCAATGGGCAGACTTTGTGTCTGGTTCAGGGAAACCAGAAACTGACTGTCTAATGTGTTTCTCTGAGTATTAAAGAAAAGCAGAAATTGGGCGAAATCTTCACAGTGAAGGGGGAAGAGGGTCAGTGCCCTGGGAAAGAACAGAATAGGGTGTTTGACAGTGACAAGAAACTCGAATGCCTTCAGAACAAAGAATCCCAGAATCAGAACCATAGACTCTGAGTTGGAAGAGGGCCCACAAGGTGGCCAGCTTGTCTAATCTCCCCATTTTACAGATGGGAAACTGAGTCTCAGAGAGACTAAGAGAATATATACATAGAGATCTGAACCTAGGACTTCTCACTCTAGAACCAACATTCTTTCCACTGTGCTACGTGGCAGATCCCAAGGAAAGAACTTCAGTGTGTTAGGACTTTATAAAAGAAAAAGAAAGAAAAAAGAACAATTTAGCAAAATTAAGCAATATGCCAACTGAGTCTGATAGTGTAGGCATTATTCTTTCCTTCCTCTCTCTTTCTTTTTTCCTTCTTTCCTGCCTTTTTTCTCTTTTCTTTCCATTTACATGGATGTGGTCATTGTGTATTATGTTTGCCCAGCTCTACTTTCTTCATTTTGCATCAGTTCGTGTAAGTCTTCTGATTTTATTCTTTGTTATGAGGAACAGCTCTCTGGGTAGGGAACAGGGGAAGGACTTTCTGGGAAATGAAGATGATGTAAAAACAAAAGAAAGCAATAAAAATTAAAGTGAAATAAAACTGCAGACCTCGAGTTAATTTGGAGATACTTGCTTCAAGAAGGACGACTCTCGTTAAATTTGTAGGACCAGAGGTTTGGTCATTGGACAATACATTTCCCCAGCTGGAGCGACTCATGAAGACCATCTAATAAAGCATAAGGGATTTAAAAATCTGTAGTGATGGAGGGAGGGCCCTGTTGATGAAATTCCATGCCCTACAAGGCAGTTACTGTCGAGGCAGAATTCTGAGCAGGCATTGGCTGGATGAGTTATTCAGAGGCATCTTGGCATCGATAAGGGGCCCTGGACTAGGGGCCAGAGGAGGCCTGTGTTTTAGTGTACACTATGAACCTGATTTGCCATGTGGTGGTAGGAGGTATGGCTCCCTACTAGGAGGTTTTGGTCCTGGCTTTGTGCCACCCTGGATAAGTTACTTCTCTGAGACTCAGTTTCCTCGTCTGCAAACTAAAGGCATTGGGCCTTCCCACTAGAATGCCTTTCTGGGTCTTTCCTGACTGTAAGAAGATGTTGGATTAGGTAACCTCCAAGGTCTCATCCAGCTCAAAAATATGATGATATCTTAAGCTGTTATGCTTGGAGTGGCCAGCTGGGCCCACCCCCAGGCCAGGAGGGATAGCAGCCCATTAGACAGAATGCTCAGGGGCTCCTGTTGCTCCCAGACCACAAAGGAGCGTGAGGCTAGTGGTCCAGGGCTTCTGAGCACAAACACCCTGCCTGGGCCTCCATCTCCATGGCCCCCTTTGTCCACCAGCTGTCCAGCTGGGCACTGCCTTCTTGGCATTGTCAGGCATTGGGCCCCAATTCTCCCCCAGAGCTCTGACCCTCTCCCGGCCTCATTGTGAGGGTTCCATTGGATTTCTGCTGTGCTCTGCAACTTTGCCCAGAGACGCCTATCAGAGCCTCAGGCCTACTGTCCGGCTAGGAGTCCTCTTCTGGCAACAGCATTCATGCTGAGAATAATGAGGGGGTCAGAGTTCAGGCCCCCCAAGGCTTGGGAACTGCAAGGAACCACCTAGCAGAGGTCTGTCAGGCCCGCCCTTCTTGGCCAGGACTCTGAGACCCTCACCCTCTAAGAGTTTCTGCGCCACAATGCTTTCTTTGGAGAGTGAAGACTCCTTTTGTAACCTCAAAGAATTTTTCCACCTTTGTCATGGTAGAAACCTTTCTCAGTATTCGTTAACTGAGAAAATACAGGATTACAACAAAGCAACTCTGCGTTCAGGGATGTTTTGAAATGAATCTGCATTTTATTCATAACAACAGTGTCTATATGAATTAGAAAATAAATATATATGCAATAATATATGCCTATCTGTATATATACACATATGGATATGTACATATACAACTGTAAGTACACATAC